CCCCCCCCCCCCCCCCCGATAATTGTATAATAAATACTGTCTTGGAATTTCAAATTCTACAGGTGACACTTCAGGATATTGTCCTGGAGTTTCACTTCTGAAAGTGAAATTGGAAATTTCGTGATAGTGATTATATTTCAAAAATAGGATCTGAAACTAGCCACGGAATGCTATTTCTACACCTTTTGCTACATCTCAAAATTAGGAGATATGGAATCATCATAAATTTTGAATTTATGGTCAATTTTCTAATTATTCACCATCTAAATTTTGGTGTGCAAAGTGAAAATTTATTTATTTTAAACGGTTCGAAGTGGTAGATAAAGTTAAACTCTTTTAAAATAGAACTTTAGCTTTTCTATGGATATACCGGTGACATAAAATTTTTGATAGTCGTTGACTATCAAAAAGGGTTGATACAACCAAAAATAGTCAGAGATTATCTTCTTTCTATTAGTTGGAGATTGAAAAACTTAAGAACTTAATTTTAGTTTGATGCACTTTTTCATCTATAAATGGAGTAACACTACTTTTTAGTTACTAATTTAATAAGATATACAAGCCAAAACTGACCTTTTAAATCAGTATATAATCAATGATATTGTATAACATGGGACCAAGAGTACAGTCAATTTTGTATTTTTATTGCAGTTTGGGCATAAAATTCTGGACGGGAGAATGGGTGGTCCACAAGTCACAGCTAGCTTGCATCTGATTGGATTCAATCTTCTCTATGGTTTTGTTTATCTGTTCATTTATTGCATTTTTCAAAGTCAGCAAATGATGGCTACCATAGCTATGTCAGCAAACTTGGAATCTTGAATTATCTATCTCATTATTAAATAAAAGTCTAAAAATCTTGATAGGCATTAACCCCACTAGCCTTGGTCATGGTAGGAACTAGGAACTCATATATAAACTACTACTAATATACTATTGACAGTTTGAATTGCCATTGCTGAATAGAAGAAGCAAAGAATTAAGAAAATGGATACAGATGAATCAAAATATGATAGAAAGAGTGAGTTAAAAGCCTTTGATGACACAAAAGCAGGTGTTAAAGGACTTGTTGATGCAGGAGTTAGTAAAGTCCCTCAGATTTTCATTTCACCTCCAGATACAACAAAGAACTCAAATTCCAGCACAGAACAGTTCATATTTCCAGTCATTAACCTCCAAGGCATTATTGATGGTGATCAAATCAAGCGAAAGCAGGTCGTTGAAAAAGTACGCGATGCATCTGAGAGATGGGGTTTCTTTCAAGTGATCAATCATGGCATTCCATGTGATGTCTTGGAAGAAATGATACGAGGTGTTCGTAGTTTCCATGAGGAAGATACTGAGAATAAGAAACAATGGTATACTCGAGAGTTCACTAAAAAGGTTGTCTACAACAGCAATTTTGATTTATATAGTGCACCTGCAACTAATTGGAGGGATACTTTTTTCTGCATTATGGCTCCTAATCCTCCTAGTCCTGAAGAACTGCCTCCAATCTGTAGGTATGTCATTTCTATGATTACACTGATACTAGAAAAATCAAGGCCAACATGATTCAGTATATATGATTAAGTAAGTATATACAACTTGGGGCAAAGCTACATGATCTTAAAAGGGGTTAAGTGATTTCTCTTCGTTGGAAAATTACACTGTTCAACAACAACAACAATCCAGTAAAATCCCACAGGTGAGGGGTCTGGGGATGGTAGTGTGTACACAGACCTTACCCTTACCCCGATGGAGTAGAGAGGCTATCTCCGATAGACCCTCGGCTCAAGAAAACGAAAAAGACAAAAAAAAACACTATATCAGTATCATCAACAAAAACCATTGAAATAATAACAGCATTATAAGAACCAGTAAATAGTTGAAAGAGAATAACAATAACCAGTAAATAAAGTCTGGTGCTATGAAAACGAGAGAATAGCGCGAACACAACATTAACCACTAGCAGTCTAAGACAAACTTTATCAGACTAGCCATACACCGTTCATATAGGATAAAAAAGGAACATATGTTTATATATATAAATTTTTGAATGTGGATCTGCCTAAACCTTGGTAACCAGAGTTAACAGGTACTTGTGCTAGTGGGAGGTAACATGTACCTGGTTAAGTAGTCGAAGTCCACGCAAGCTGACTCGGACACCACCATCATTAAATAAAAATTGTTGAATCCCTGGATACAGGGGAATCTTCTAGTGTAGTGGACAGTGACTGAAAAATTGATTTAGGTAGTATCATTTTCTCGTAAGAATCCTAGTTCCGCCACTAATACTGTTTCATTTTTTTTAAATGCGAATACAGGGATATCGTTATTAAGTACTCTGAGGAAGTGAAGAAACTGGGGAGTTCTCTGTTTGAATTATTGGCAGAAGCTCTTGGGCTGAATAGAAACCATCTCAGTGACATGGATTGTGACAAGGGACTTTCAGTAGTATGCCACTACTATCCAGCTTGTCCCGAACCAGAACTTACACTAGGTGCTAGTAAACATGCTGATGATGGGTTCATAACTCTGCTTCTCCAAGACCATATAGGGGGGCTGCAAGTTCTTCATCAAAACCATTGGGTTGATGTCCCCCCGACCCCTGGTGCTCTTGTCGTAAATATTGCAGATCTTCTGCAGGTTAGTCTTCTCTTCAAATATGTAGCTAATGGATTGTGTGCAATTCTTTTAGTAATAGAACTATATTGAGTTATCAGATTAGTATAATCAACAAAATATAGTGATCAGTAAAATGGATGCAAGTTGAATATTGAAAATGGGTAGCTCCCACTATAACTCTAAGCTAGTGAATTCAGGATATCGATTCAGTGGATTTGTAGAGTTTGTGTTCTATTTCATCATGTACACTATCTTCAATTATATATATGAGTATAGGCCGTGCACGCTTGCGCGCACACACATATGTGATTCAAGTTGAAAGCAGTATGTTCAATTGAATTAACTGCAAGTGGTCTGTCACTGCTGACAGCTTACCCCACGAGATAACAACAGTACAACGATTAATTCGTATCTAATCTAGACACAAAGGTTGTTCATGCATAGATAAAAAGTAGTGAGGGGTTTTGGCAGAATGGTGATTGGTGATTTAAGAATGTGTAAGAGGGTGTACAACTTGTAAAGAACAATAGAAGTTAATCTTTGAAAAAAAGTAGCTTGACTTTAGTTCACAAATGAGCAATACTAATATTGTTTGTCATCAAACTGTACAGCTAATTTCAAATGACAAGTTTAAAAGCATGGAACATCGCGTACTAGCCAATCATATTGGTCCAAGGATATCAATTGCATGCTTCTTCTCTACATTTTTCCTGGCATCCTCAAGACTCTATGGACCTATTAAGGAGTTGCTGTCGGAAGACAATCCCCCAAAGTACAGAGAAACAACAATACAGGAATATGCTGCCTATTTTACTGCAAAGGGGCTCGATGGAACTTCTGCGCTACATCATTTTAGACTTTAAACTGTTATAATGAAAATGGTACAGACAGCTGAATGAACTATCTTTTCGTTCTGCTTATTCAAAGTGAAAAATATTGTATTATAATACATACAGATAACCACTATGTATGCACTGTCTATTAATATTTAATACTTTCCTTGTTTTTTTTTTTTTGTTTAATTCCTTTTTTTTTTTATAGACGATCAGATTACAATACTGAGACTTTACAGCTGCTGAATCATATCAGTTCTTGTTTCACCACAGAAATTAGTCAAAGAGTATTTGTTGGTTGAAGTTGAAAAACGGTTTGTGGAAGTTGCTATTACTAGTTTTTTTGCTCAACAGACCCTAATTATTTCTTCTATTGTCTTTCTCATTCCTGTATAAAATTCTCAAAAGTTCTTTGTATTATGCAACCTCACTGGCCTCACTTGCAGTAACTCATATATGCCAAGCAGTTTGTTCAGAATTTAGATAACTTTGCATGAAGAAGAATAGGTAGTATGAAAGAAATGGAGGTCAAATTTATGATAGCTAGACAAGGTGAACACGGGTACCTAGAATTTTTGCTCAACAACCAAATAGCGCACAGAACTCGAATCTCATCAACTGCTTGTTCACTCGTCTAACGTTGACCTTGGACACATATTTGTTATCAAAGGCGAAAAGCGCAAAAAAGTTCTAAGGTCTGTTGGGGCTTTAAGCGCAAAGTGCAAATAAAGCGTGACTTTAATGAAGAAAGGCGCAAATGGAGAAAAACGACAAATATGTATGTGTAGTCCAAGACTAATATCTATAAGCATGGATACCAAATATGTGGACAAAAAATTTGAAGAAAATTTATAGTAAAGTGAAATATCAATTGTTTAGTGTCGCCTCTTCGGGATCACGCTCATTGGCTAGGAAAAGTATGCCTTAGAGCCTTGATGACAACACTGAAGCGCCCGCTAAGCAAGGCGAAGCGCTCAACATGTTTTGAGCTTCGCTTCAGGGCTTAAGCGCGCTTTAAAAAAGGCGCCTTTGACAACACTGGAGTATAGTACCTACTATACAAACCATGTCAGTCCATCCAATCAACATCTTAGTTATCTCTGGTCTTCTAAAACAGCAATCCCCTCATTAAGCCAAGTTAGCAGGGTCCATCAAACGTTTTAGCATAGGTCGCTGCTTTAATCAGCGATCTGCCTATTTAAAGACTTAAAAAGAAGTCCAAACCATTAATGGATATTAGTCTGTTGTAGGACTTGTTTTGGGCGGGAGCTCCATCAATTCACAGCTCATATCTATTTATACAGTTATGTCCATCAATGACATGAATGTTTAGTGATACTTGCCAACTTCCAGAGTGAATTTTAAAAGTTAAAACTCATGATTAGTTAGATCCTATACCTTTCATTGTGGCATGTTTATCATTTTGGCGAGTGGAACTCTGCTTGTTAGGTCTGCTTTACTCGAATATAGGTTTATAGTTTAGCATTGCTGCAATGACTTTGCAATTATCAGTCAACTTTTCCTAGGAAAGTTCAGTGATGTCAGTTTTTGAGCCTAATCTCACTAAAAGTTCTGTTACTGAAAGAATCCTTTCACATTTTCCCTTTAGTTATCTGTAAATAGTGATTTATTTTTCTATTTTGATACAATGCAATGAGTTAGGAAAGGTTAGTGACGTCACCTTTGAGCTTAATCGTTCTATCTTCTGTTAATGAACGCATCCTTTCACGTTAATCACACCTCTAGTTTCGCAAAACCTACCAGTCCTTTGACCAACTACCCTATGAAAGAAAAAGGATTGTACAGAAAAAATTAGTGAAAAAGATGACGAGCATTACCTTATCAAACCACAATTTAGGAACCTCCAGATTAGGAGAATACATTGTTATTACACTGTATTTGTAAAATAAATTATGGAAATATAAATGAATATAAACAGTAATGAATATAAACAGAAATGACATAAACCAATTCGAGCCCACTGAATTCACAGTGTTTCCTTAAGGAATTTAATCCCCTCCTAGTACCCAAGGTTATGGATTATTTCCTCCCAGGATAGAACGAATTACACAATGGTGTAGTGGTACTTCAAACCCCAGTGTTTCAGCGAACACAAAGTTCGGTAGCAAATCACACTTACTTTTTGCTTTGTTTTGATGCTAAAAGTATGCAGAAGAAGGAGAGGAAACTCAGAAAATTGTAGTTAAAATTCTGAGCAGAATAGTGTTGTATTGGGTCTCTTCAGAATGGCTGTTTATGCAAAACGCCCACAACATAAATGCCATTACATAAATGGCCATTTACTCAATAATAAAGAGGGAAAATAAAGAGGGAAAATTGAAGAGGGTAGTTACTTTTCTGTTACCAAAACAGAAAAACGGATTGGATTTAATATTAATATTTAATATTAATATTTTGTTATTAAAACAAATATTTAATAACATTTCTGTTAATATTTTACTATTAACATATAAATTTGGTCCAAAAAGTTAATCAATCAATCGATCATTTGACCAAAACCGAATCCGTAGCCGTAGCCGTAGCCGTAGCCGTAGCCGTAGCCGTAGCCGTAGCCGTAGCCGTAGCCGAGCGAGCGACGACGACGACGGCGCGAGGCTTGCCTTCTTCTCAACTCTTTAAGAGCTAGAAGAAGAGCAATTGCTTATATACCCATAAAAAACCTCTTCCTCTTCCAATATGGGACAATGCCCATTTGCCAAGGGAGGGGGAACTTAAAATTTCACTCAAAAAAATTTCATTTCCCTCCATTTCCCATTCCCCCTCTTTTAAGTATTTAATATATTAATTAAATACCTTAAAAACCCAACAATCCCCCACATGAATGGGGAATGGCTATATCACGGAAGTATGCATGAAAAACTGTGTGATTCACAAGTAAGGATTAATTGCATCTGGATAAGTAGGTTTCCCTTTGAACTTTCCGTAGTGAACTTATGTCGGATATACTCGATCAATCGGTAGATTTGATATCTTTGAACCGTCGAACTTTAGTGTATACCTAGACAACCACAAGTCACACAACCAACCCTTAACCGTCTTTGGTTCTCATTGTTGTGTTCGTTTCAGCCATGAACACCGCCTGGTTTCATAAGTGCGTAGAGAACTGGCCTTGCTGTGTTCTCCTTGAAGCGGCTAACACTTCACACTTACATAGGTGATTCCTAAACGTGTCATCCCGTAGATACACTATTTGATATACCCTGTATCAAATTTAGAAATCATTAAAAAGCCTTAATGCTTTATCCTTGGTACTGAACATTGTCTCATCACGAGAATGGACCAAAAGTTTAGTTGACAATGTTGAACCGTCATAAATGACTTTGTTTGATCTCCTTGAACCTAGATCTTGGGATCTCCA